TGTAACTAACATTTCCAAACATGAACTTGACTCATAAAATGTATCCTGATAGATATGATATAGTACCGTCAAGAGTTGATGTGTGTTAACACAATACACCTTTGCCTCTTATTTTATTTCACCACATTCCCACATCAATAAGTTGTCTGGTTGTTATCTCAAAGTGACCCATTACACTACATCACTTATGTATATAAGTATATATTTTAATCATTATGATAATATGTACAGTGTTCATCTTTGGTATCCTGCAGCCTGTACACTCAACACCAATATGTCTACATAAAAGAAAACATACAACATAGCCAGCAGCTGCAGATATCATTTTAGTATTGTCATTGATGCTTGATCCACACATCACTTACACAAATTACTTCTTACTGTATTTTTGCATTACAAGAAGGAATCCAACCTATAATTATAATAGTGCAAGTAGTCAGTTTTCCTTGGCTTTAAAGCATTTCCAGCCAAACTCTAACAGTCTAAAACAAAAAGGGCAGTGATTCAGGCTAGTGCTGCATAAAGTATCAATATCACTGTTCAGACAAGAATGTTAACATTTTGTTTTATGCCTTCAGTGTGTTTAAAGAATGGAATATAATTATATAGGAGTGAACAGAACAAGCATATGTGTGCCTGTACCCTACATGGACAAAATCAATTTGCCTAAGATTCATAAATTATGAGAGAGGTGATTCAAGATCTACACACGACAACCTCACAGGCTGTAATATGTTCCTCTCCGAGTACCAACGGTAATCTGCAGAAACTGGAGGTACAAAAAGATGGTAAAAGACAAGTATTATCACACACACTATGTAATATAACATGTGATCAAGAGATAAGTATTGGTGATATTACTGGCTTGGTAATATGCTTTTACAGGAATAAATATGTTCAAATGGGGTGTGATGTTTCATTAAAACTTAACCATTACATAAATATTACCATTTCATAGTGCATAATTACTAACTTCCATCTTCTTGGTTACTTACACAATTCAATGTAAAATTACTTCATGTTAGCTAGATATAAATATTCCAGTAGTGAGAAACAATTTTCTGACAGTTCCCACAACATGAGGAAACAATTGATCACAAATGAAGACTGGCCCATCTTCATGAAACAAACTTGCATAAATATCTTTAATTTCACTATTTACTTCTTATGTAGGTACTGAAGTTCTCTATGATATCAGCTTTCACAAATAATACTGACCAACATAAAAGACTGTTAACAGAAATTATGCAATACACCAGCTCAAGTGGCAAAATATGATCTACGGGTATTCATCACTCTGCCACAAGACACCTTGATCAAAAAGCACCATATTATTATAATTTACACAAATATTAATCAAAGGGTGTATTATTACCATTCAACAGGTTTTAACTTTATTCCCTCAAAATATAGAATGCATTTTCCAACACAGTACATAATATTTATCCTGGAAGATCTATAAGCTATAAAAGAATGAATAAAACCAAACTGTTAACAGTCTATTACATACACACAGCAATATATGTCTACTTATAATTAATAAAACTTCATGAGATAAATTCAGCTAAAACCTGTTTAATTTGGCAAGAAACAATCAAGAGTCACAAACAGCCTCACCTTACAATTAAAACCACATGGTAATTTTTTCAGTGATACAGGAAAATTCATTTTGCAAGAGAATGTATACTAATTCTGTTACCAATGTATATGAATGCAATAAGTAGTATCTTGAGGAACTGGAACCACTATTTTACATTTTATTTCACTGCCACATTGCTTATAAAACTCCATCTCCATCATAACGCTGATGTCTGCTTCTAAACACATTCTACCAAACACTTTGTCCCGAGAAACAGCTACTGAACATATGGATTTTAATAAAAACAAATGAGTCCTCATTTGCTTGCTTCCCCCAAAATATACACCATATGAAAGAAACTTAATGCAGGTTTAATACTTTGGGTATGTGTAAGATTGTGTATACTGAGTGGATCTGTATGGATTGGTATCCACTTTAAAGACAAAGATGGATAATGTGATATTCTTAAGCATAATCAAAATACAATGTTAGTAACAACATCTACTGTAATTACATTCCCCTTTTATTTTTAACAAGTTTCTTCTTAAATATGTGGTTTTCCTCAAATCACGTGATTCTAAATGATGAAAGCAGTTATAACAATGCTGATGTATTAAACTGCAATGATATTCAATATTCACTTAACAAATTTTTATGAGTTAAACCAATGAGACTCAGTTAATAAAAGGTGAATACAATGGCCTGAGAATACTAATCTACAAGTGGAAACAAAATGATGAATACAAAAGGGCTCTTAACATTCCATTTTATTTCAACAGAACTACCTATCAAAAATCCATTATCCATCCATCCATCCATCTTGATTACTTTTCACAAGTATATCCAATTAGAAATATTAATGTAATGCATTTATACCATTATTAACACTGTTATTACGAGTCTTCTTCTGTTCAAACCATAAACACCAGTGCAGTTCTGAAAGTAGCTTCAAGCCAAGATTCAGTGGTTCATATCAATAAAATTATATGCCGCGCATTGACATAAAATATTCAGAAAATTGTTTTGTAATATATTTAAAAATAATGAATTTTGTACATCTACATGAGCAGTAAAAGTAATGAAATTTCCATAGAAAATCACATTCTAACATCTTATCAGTTATGTATTAATGAGGGAAAAACAACCCAAAGTTAATTTTACATTACCATTCAAGCAAGGAAAATATGCACTTATAAGGATTACCATAAAATTTGAGGTTCTCATGGCAGTGAATACGTTAATTGTGGTCATAATTATTTTCTGACATTTCCAGGTGGGGTTACAGCATGAAATGAATGACTTTACATAAATACATAAAGAAGCTTTGAACTTTGCAATCTCATTCAAAGGCAATTCAAATTAAAGACCTCAAGATGCATTCTTATTCAGTACTCATAAAAATTAGTGTTTTCAGGTCACTGCTATTTCTCAAAGCCATCTCATAACTTCAATTCAGTGGTTCTAACAGTAAGGCCACAATGTAGGCTATTTGTCGCACACCTGCAATTGAAATGTTACACCACAAATTATCAAACCTGTTATACCTCAGCATTTATTTAACAAATGATAGCACAATCTGCAAGCAAGAATAACAAAAGGTATCACAGAGAGTAAATCAGAAACTTGCAATAAACATGCATAAACACACATACATGAACATGCACACACATTTATCTTCCAAAATTTAGTCTTTCTAATTTTTTATGTTGACACAAAGTCATACAGGTGAATCAAATATCTGCAGCATTTACACAGTAGTTTAAATTTCACCTTGGAATTAACACATATGATATATCCCAAATGCTCATAAAAATCGAGCACCAACTTTTTAATATTGTCCCTTAAGATTTGTTGTGGCGAGCTCTACAGTCCATCTTAAAACCAGCTGAGAAACCATCTCTGTTGAGGATACACAGATCTATATATATTCCTCCCAGAAGACTTCACAGGCATATTATTATGAAAAAAGCATTCTGTTTAAATTGAGATGATTTATTCTTGAAACAAACGTGTTCTACCTTGAGCAGGAAAATATGTGCAATTTTCATCCATAATTGGAAATAAACAAATAACTGATGCAAAGATCATGACAGCAAGTGCTGAGTTAAAATTATATAGCACAGTTATACAACATAGTTACCTACGTTATGTGTATTTTGGAGTCATATTTCTGCAGGAACCAATCTGCAATAATCAAATTTAACATGAAGGAACTTATGTTATGAATATTCTTACAAATGAAAACAAGTTGATGCTATGAACTGCATCAAATAAAAAAATGGAAAAGCTCAGAATTTATCCATTCTTTTAACTTGATTTACTTCAATGAAAGTCTAAAGAAAAGTATATATGTACTAGGAAAGACATGAGAACTTCTTCAGCACACACTTTAGGTTCTTATCACATGTATTGCATTTCAGGAAGAATTTAAAACTAAGTCTGCAGACATAACATTCCCTAATTCATCATACTCAACTGTAACTTATACTAATTATTGATGTAATAATCTCTATTGACATCACTACCTAACATATGTATATACATACAACTGAACAAAGTATAATGTACATTCCTGACATATTATATATATATAAAAACACAAGTATGTATAAATTTTTTGTTGCTGTTTTTGTGGCAAGCACCTGGAATACCACTATTAACTTTAGCATTTTCTATTACTGAATACTGTATTCTTCTGTCTTGTCCTATTGTTAATGCCACCACTTAACTTCAAGGATAATATGTGGGAACAATTAACAAATGTAGGCCTTGTGAGCAACATACTTCTACAGGAAAGCTTCAGAATTCACTTTCCACAAGACTGATAAAGAGAACATGCTAATATAACATCACAATTGAAACACCTAATTAAACAAACATAATCACAAAGAAAAGTATTAACGAAGGTTCCAAACTTAGGTTCTTTGATTTTATGATATTCTGAATTACTGCGGTATCACAAAAAGATGAACTGCGGGCAGTTCCCAATTTTAGTATTTGAAAGAAATCCTAGACATCATGGTACTCAACAGAAATCAGAAAATATGTAATTTATTTGATAATTTCAAACAAATTATGAACATAAACTTAGGACACTCATGCAAAACAGCGTGTTGCCTACATATGTCAAGTTCTCAGCTCTGCTATCCTTCTTATCCTTCTTATGTATTTTACCTCATAATTCTTTCCTTGACTTCTTATCTTCCCTGCTAAGTGCCAAGGCATACTCAAGGTCGGCCTGCTCCTGCTCCAGTCTCTTGCGACGCTCCTCCTCCAGTCGGAGGCTCTCAGCTGCCGCCCATGCAAGCTGCTGATCCTCAGGGGGTATCTCTGTATGAGCTTTTAATCCAAGACCAGCAGCAAATGGGTCCACTGACACACCTCCATTCATTTTAGACGTTGGGGTGGGAAACTCACTTGCAAAACCAGAATCAGTTTCAAGTCCAAATGGATCAAGTTTGGCACCAGCGGCTGGAGATGATTTAATGTCTTCCTCATCATTGAATGGATCGGATATATTGAAAGGGTCCTCATAACGGTAATTTCGGAAAGGATCCTCTGTGAACTCCAGACCTGCACAGTGATGCTGCGTTGTCGCTTTGATGGTAGCTGATGCCTTCGCAGTCGTTTGCACCATCTGGCTTGAAACTTCATCCACTGCCTCAGAAAACTGAAGAAGGGGGAGGAGGAGCAGAATTGTTTTTAAGGCTGAAAAACATACAAAAAGAAAGCAGAGGCAGAGAGCCTGGTTACACAGCAGCAAACTTCTGAAAGAGAAAGGAAACTTCAACTGTAATTACTGTCTCTTTGTTACCGTCGGCTGGCATCAGGTGAAGGCAGGCGGCATGGACAAACATGCATGTAGGCAGGCGTGCCAAATTAAGCATGTAGAACCTAAAATAAACATAATAAAGTAAATAAAATAAAATTAAAGCAAAATTCAGTGCATTAACACTTTACAACACCTATAAGTATACAAAAATAATCATGCATAAAATGGTGAAACATAAATGGAATTAAGATAGAAGAAAGGGTATTTTCAGGAGATGGTAATTAATAGGGTAGGAATCAACAGAAATGTAAGTAGTGCCACCAAAACAATATAAATATAATACTACTACTTAAAATTTCATTTACAAACACAATAAAGCCAATCAGCCAACACTTCCCAGCAGAATGCATTTTTTCTAGCAATTTACTACTGAAGAAGAACTACATTCATCTTCATGTCTGTGGTGTTTTGGGTATGGATGAATGAATATATGGGTGAATCAATGGAGGCTGCTGATACACTGAAAATGTTAAACAGCTTTATGCTGACAGGAAGATGCACAGAATAATAATTTCATTTATGTTCCTCAGCACTTCAAAATTCATATGATTCAGCTTTATAGTGCATTCATAATGAAAAGTTGCAACAATATGCTCATAATTTAATCATAAACTCAGTTTATCTGTCCATCTGCCCACATGCAACAATTTGAGAACTGGTAGTTTTACCAAAATTAATCAACATATTCCAATTTTTGTTGAAATCAGGTGTAGTGCCATGTAGTCTGGTAGAAGTTTATCAACGTTTCAAAGGTCCTTGCTGCATCCATCATCAGGGCAATGAGTAAGCCACGTATGTGGAATCGGTTTGAAAGATAGGAACCAATCAGTCAAGGCAGAACCTTAAATGGACCAACGGGGATTAGGTTCAGATTCAGGTAAGGGCCCAAAAGCCAATAAGAGAAGGAGGTATAACAGAGACTGGCCAGGAGGGGAAAGCACATGCAAAAGAGAGAGGTTAAAGGTTCTGCCTGCTGACTGGTTCCTATATCTCTATTTAATTCCATGTGTGTGGCTTACTCATTGCCCTGATGATGGAGGCAGCAAGGACCTCTGAAATGTTTGTAAACTTCTACCAGACTACATGGCACTACACCTGAGAAGACAGCCATCTTAAAGAAGTGTTACGATGATGATAACCACATTTTATATAAGAGGTATCTGTCAACCAAGCCTATTTAATGACATTTATAAAAGACTATATACATTTGTAGGAAATGAGGTTTTCACAGTGGTATGATCTCGTGGATTGTTGCACCATGGAGTAGTCTTGTGACTGTATGCAACATTTCAGATAAACATGCTGCCTCCATCTTCAGAGTTGAAGATGAAGGCAAGTTTTTCTGCTAACAGATTAACCTTTCACCTCTGCCAAAAATAAGACTGAGAATGTTAAAAATACCAGGCCATCATGGTTCACAGTCTGCATTGACCTATAGGTCCCCTCTGTTGACCATCATTCTCATAAACATACTATCACTAGTAATCTCCTGTATAAGTGTTCCCACTTCAGAAATGGATTCTATGCCTTTTTCAAGGCAGAGAAAGACCAATAAAGTTGTTATAAAAATACCTGGTGGCATCAGACATAAACATAATCTGTAACCACAATTAGTGGTAGGAGAAACTTATGATTCTGACCAACTTGTAGCTGAGATAAGGCTTTCACAGCAGTGAAAGTTTACATTGTTGAATTGTAAGTTATGATGCCATTTGCCCTATAGGTGGTTATGAACATTTTGAAGGAATTTGTTGCCTCCACTCTCAGACCAGATGGAGGCAACAGGTACCTGCAAAATGTTCATAACCATTTACAAGACTACACAATGTGTCATAACCCACAAGATCAAATTTACATTTGTAGTTATTAATAAAAATTATTAGAGGTTATCCTACATCAGTACTTATCCGCATCTCAAAATTTTTTACCAGTTCCAGCAGCTGATTCCACGACAGATTTCGGAAGGTAACGAGATTGGAGGAGGATGAACTGGAGAGAGGTAGGTAGCTCTGGTGACAACACTACACAAGAAAGCAAAAGAGCCAAATGGAAAGAATTAAACACCTGAAAGTAATGAAATGTTATATAAAAATGTAATAATATAGCTTTGGTGAGAAACCACAATTCCTATTCACAATGGAGATATATTAGGTATGAATGCATACATGAATTACCTCCATAATCATCGACAGGAATTATCCAATTTATTGTACCTTTGTCGATGGATCTTACAACCATGACCCATTCAGATTTGATGGGGAATGATTTCTTTCACAGCTTTATCCCTTTTGTACCTTTAATTCTGTCCCCAATTTCTCATTTGTCCATCCAATCATCATTCCTCTAATAAAAATTTCCTTTCCTCTATTCCTTTCATATCTTTAACTCCTGCCTTCCAAGACAGGCCACTAGAGAATAATTGGAAAAATAAAGTATACAACATTCTTTGAGTGTTTTCTGTAAAGTATGCACCCACTTAAACATTGTGCAAGCAAGTATAAAGCATGAAAATGTATTATATATAACACAGATTTTTCTCTTGGAATTCTGAAACCCTTTCTTCACAATATAAACTGGTACTGCTGACCTTTCTACAAGACCTCTGCTGTTTGAGCCATCAAAGCTAAATAGAGGGTGAGAAAAAGCACAAAAGAGAGTGATTTCTTATAAGTTTATTTCTTTACCTAGTGGGAGTGACCAGGATCAATCCTTCATATACTAATCTTAACCAGAAGATGATAAATTATTATACAGAAAGTTCCAAGTTCAATCCTGTTGCTGATACATGAAAATAAAAATATCTGGCAGCAAACATGTACAAATAAAGAAAGTGAAGTTCTTGAAACCATCCCTTGGGCATCAGAAAGATTCCAACATAATCAGAACAACCCACTGCCAAACGTTGGCAGAAAAACATGCAAAACTCGGTACTGGAAAAACCTTTAAGGTTTGGGTCATCACACCACAAAAATGAAATTCTCTTCATACAAGCTACTCTATTACCTGAATTTCATAAAACATCATACATGTGTGGAATGTGTATACTGAAACTGAATGCTAAAAGAAACTATTCTTCTGATTCAATTTATTATAACATTCAATACAATGAGAAACTGATGAGTACTAAACATTGTGGTTGATCACTTAGCACTCCTGCTTCATATTACAGAGGTCTGAAGCTAAAGTTTTGATACAAGCACTGGCTATTCTGATGGTTTTTGTGACTTTCCACAGTCCCTCCTAGCAAATGTTATGACAGTATTTTAAAATAGGCCATGACTCAACATTCATGCCAATTCATCATCCACAATACTACTATTACAACCAGCCTGATGTAAATGTACAGCTAGCCTCATGGCCAGAACATAGTGCACTTAGTCATGATTGATCAGCTGCTATTATCAGCTCACAGTGACTGATTAATCCAATGTAGAAATGCTGGTTCAGTTTAACAGATGGATAAAAATGCCACCATCAGATGCTTTTATATTTAATAAAATATAAAGAAAATGAATTCCACCTTCTATAATTAATAAAGGTAGTAAAATATGCACTAACTAAATTCTACACAAAACTTAGTATAAAAACAACTACTCAGAAAAACAAGGAAGTGACATATTCTCTATTATATTTAAAATCACCGAGTAAGAAAAAAGACGACACTGTCATTGTGTGGAGATCATATTACTGGCACAAACAGAATACAGTTTACAAAGATGCTTTTGTTTATTAAATTAATAACAGAATAATTTCCTAAGAAAACTGTTGCCTTTACAGAGGAAGAATTAGTAAGAAATTTCATAAAACAATAGAATAAGAACACGACTAAATATTCAGAAAATGTAATAAGCTCAGATAATAAAAATGGTTGTGAAAAATAAAAGGCAAACACTCATATGGATAAATGGAATGACTAGACACCTTGGTAATGATATCCGAGAGAAATATAATAGAACAGCAGAACACATATGTAAATGTAAACATTTACAAAAAGGCATTGCCACTTACGGAAAGTAGTAAGCTCAGATACCAAAGGGAGTTTTGAAAATAAAATGCAAAGTTCTATATGGACAAATGGAATAATTTACATACACTCTGGTAACAACCACAGAAGTAAAATAAGGTAGTGAGATATGGACATGGGATGGTAAAAACAAAACAGAAATAGAAATGAGACATTTTCGTGATTGGAATCTGGATATAAATGGTTAGACAAAGAGGTTAGAGAAAGACCACGAATACACTGGACAAGGCACACATTAAAATACCTAACTTATGAAGACTAGGACAGTCAAATTTCATTTCGTTTTTCGTAAGCTCTGCAAAGCAGCAGCATTTTTAAATTCTGACCACTGCAAGGAATAACATTCCACTTCATAATTTTGAACATGACTTTAAAGGAGGGAACACACTCACATGAAGATCATTAATTAAGATACAGTGGTAATTTATCTGTAAGGAAATGACTCAGTCAATTTTTCTGTTCCAACTTGTAAATCATAATTTTAGGAAATTACAATACTAGTTAACTGCAATTCAACTTTATCACACATAAACAGAGCCTTACCTTGTTGTCAAAATTTGCAAAGTCAGCAAATGCACCTGAACTGCTAGCAAATGGATCATTCTGGGGTGCAGCTGATGTTGACGTAGTGCTGTCATCTGCTCCAAAAGGATCAGCACCAAATGGATCCGCTTGTGTACCTGGATTGCTGAATGGATCTCTACTGGCAGCAGCTCCACTCATGGCTGTTGGATCAGGGCTAGGTGTTGGAGGAAGAGGGGCAGCTCGCATCATTGGCTGCTGGAGAGGACGTGGGGGTGCAGGGCGTGGGGGTGGCTGTTTGCTCTTTTTTGGAGGTAACGCAGGACTGGGACTCTCTGGACGAGGTGGAGGTCCACTACTTGCAGGCTGAAGAGCAGCAAATGGATCACACCCAAATGGATCTTTATCTGACATCTAGAATAAAAATGATTTCAATACTGACATACACATAAATCATTATTACTCTCATGCCATAAAATACAAAAAAGAAATGTAAACACAAAATGCATCCAAGTAATATTTAAAAATTCAGTTCCTACCCAGAAACTGGCCATTACCTAAATGCAGTTCTTAATTACAGTTACAAGATAAAAGAACAATGACAATCCTAGCAAATGCCTATTTAATCCTTGAAGTAACTTACATCTACAGGTGTTTTTGAAGCAGATCGATCTGTTCCTCCATCTCCAAAAGGGTCAAAAGGATCATTCTTGGCTGCAACAAATAAAAAGTAAAGAGTAATACATACTTTAGACTATGGACATATACAACAAAGTACTTCAAACACGAATACAAAACAGCCATTGATAATCCTAGTAATACTTTTTACATTGTCTTAAATTTTGTACATCTGTTGTTTCAAATTAGCAATTACAAAAAAGGTTACTATTTAATTCCAACATTCTTCTCTCCCTCTTCCCCTCATAAAATGTAACAATAAATTAATGTGTTTAATATGTTGTTTACTTTTCCCTGCAATAACCCTGAAACCACCATATTGTTGCAATGGCTGGCTATAGGACTGATGTATGAACACCTTTTATTGGAAATTACCTCTTGACATATTGCAGCTCAGTTGTGAAACACCTTGTTTTGACTGTATATCTCACCATCTTGCAGTTGTAACACCTACTGTTTGTCTGGCCATTTAGACAAGCATAAATGTTAGGGCTAAAACACAGGACAAGAACCTACATTGGACTGAAGTAAAAAAGCTAAGATTTAAAATCAATGCCATAGATTTACTGAGCTTAGGATTTAATTACCATTTGCAGCTGGTGCACCAAAAGAACTGAAGGGATCTGATGTAAAAGTGTCCTGAAAAGGTAACCAAACATTTTTACATCAATAAAACTATATGTAAATTATAACAATAAAATACAATACTGGCATCAAAGATTTCATTGTTAACACTTAACTAGGTACTTACAGGAGACCTAGATGAAAAGGCAGAACTGAATGGATCATATGAGCTAAATGGGTCAGAAGCAGGGGGATTTGGTTTCGTACTCTTGAATGGATCTGGAACAAGACATAAAAGTGCACCTTCATCATACATATAGCCACAAAAAGATGGAATGTCAAAATTCACATTTAAAGATTCAATCAGTATCACCAATGTTTAAAAGAACTTGGAAAAAAACAGTGAACAACAATTACCAATGCAATTTATAGTACCTCACCATTCTTAAACATATCCTCTCCACCAAAATCAGAGCCACTACTATCTGCTGGTCCATTCAAACCACTAAAAGGGTCCTTTTCACTGCCCACGAACCCTTTATTCTGAAAACAAATCAGCTTTATTAATGTTTACTGAAAAATAAGTTTAATCAATTACTTTGTTAAACAAAACTGTTAACAATGATGTGAAATTTGGGATTTTCAAAATGGTGAGTATGAATATGGTTGTCTTCTGGATTGCTGCACAATGTACTATGGTAGAAGTTTACCAATGTTCCGGAGGCCGCAAGCACCTCTGAAAAGTCGATAAACTTCTACCAGACTACACAGTGTAACAATTCAGAAGACTTTTGATAAAGGTGATATCCTAAATCAGTACTGTTGCTTCAATACAATAACATAAGTTTTTTTTCTTTCATAAAGTAACATATTGGTCAACCAATAATTACAGGTAGCCTCGATTTACGCCGGGGATGCGCTCCTGGACGAACTGGTGTAAACGGAATCAGCATAAATTGAAACTCTTTCATAATGTAAATCAATGGGAGTCAATGACATGCGTTCCCAGCACCCAAACATTGACGAGTAATATAATGGCATTACATTTAAAGCTCTGAAATAACGCAAATAAAATAAAGGGAATTTAAAAAATATGTTTTATACACTTACAATCGGCAATTCGTTGGTCCCCGCAATTAACTGCGATTCTTTCATGTGATTGATGTGTACAATCATCTCTGCTGTTATGCGATAGTTGCATCATGTAAGATGCTGACCTATAGAAAATCGCGTAGTAAAAATAACCCCGGTATCTCCAGAGATTAAATTAGTCCTTTGAAAGTTCAAAGCGCCAGGAATGAAACTGCATAAGAGCAAACTCGCATATGCAAAAGTTTGCATTTCACAAACAGCTTTTACCGATTCATCGATCTCATTGAAGCAAATTCGCGTTAACAAAACAAACGTAATTGCAGAGATGATTGTATTTATAATTTTTATTCAAAATCAGTGACGTAAGAATTACGATTTAGTATAAGAATCAGTACTAGATACATTGTAACGATACAAATAATAGTATTTTTTTTTCACTTTTTGACTTGCTGGTTTCAAAATCAGCGTTATTCTGAACCGGGACAAATCGAGGGCTACCTGTACTACCAATAGGGGCTGAAGGAACTGCTGTTTGTACATCTGCCTGTTGTATCTACAGAGTCAAAGTGACACAGGAGAAAGTCTCATGTACAGTCTGATGAAGAAAAAAGTCAAATAATGCAACGACAAAGTTTACACGGCTGTGAATATTGTATTTATGTCGTATTTACCAACACATAACACACACCCTAATATTTGGATTGGCAAATGAAAAAATCAAGTATTCATAACAACTCGCTTTGAAAAAATAAAACAACAGATCATAAAAACAAATTCATACACAAAGATTATGTAGTATATGAGATGTCTGAAGATCAGGCACAATAGAAAATTTCAAACTAACTTAGATATCCACAATATACTAACAAAATAAAGATAACCTTCACATGACAACAACTAAACTCAGTAAACAAACCCTTATGCACTTGCTTTTTTGACATTATTCTGCTATGAGGCTTTAAAAAATGGTATGAAAATCAATTGCATGGATCATCTGAAGTGATAAACAATGCTTTATTGTGTCTATTCTTCCAGATGTTTTTGCTCAGATGTAGCATAATCTGGAATATCAGACGTGCAGAGTAACAAATATTTTCACTGAACTTCGCTAGCAACAAAGTTAAATTTCAGTTTCTCTTTCATTTCATGTTTCTATCATTAACCACTACAAAATAGCTGTGCTCATAAACCACGTCATAACTTGTCCGAGTTGGTCATTTGGGATGTGGTGCCATGTGGGATGTAGGCAGGTACCAACATTTCAGAGGAACAAAGCATCTTCATTTTCAGGGCTAAAGTACTATCTTCAACTGCAAATATTAAACTGCAGTGAGCAGAGCACTTCTATTTAACTTACATGTTCCACAGGACTTCCGCCATTAACCATTGCTATCCTGGTGTACTCATGATCCCTGAACTCTGGTTTTATATTGAATGATGTATCACTAACTGTGGATGCATCACCAGAAGAAATCACAGAATCATATGTGGCAACCGCATCTTTCATTTGCCGGTGCTGTTCTTGTAAATGAGTAATTTTTGCTTTTGCCTAGATAATGAAATGACAATTTAATAAATAATATTACAATTAAACTTCTCTGAAAATGACTTACATTTAATACTTATTCAGGTCAAAGGGAAGTTTTATATTCCAAAAATCAAAAAAACCTCTTTGCTACATCTCACCACAGCACATCAGGACCAGTGACAGGAACATAAAATATAAAAGAGTAATTTGTGAAACATACCACAAGACGTTTACATATAAATTTGAAGCGCATATTAAATTAGAAATATCAAGAACAATCTTTCCTACGAATGCATAAACTTTACTGAAAACTGTTAACAGAGTTTACTGGTACATGTGCATCTTGGTTTCTGTTCTGTCAACATAATAACCCAACACATAATTTCTGAGAAAATAACTAAGCACGTGAAACATAAATAACCATTACTAACATGTCTTAACATGACAAATCTTTTCACATGAAAAGTAAATTTTTTGGTACCTACGGGATACATGAGATAATGCAATAAATCTGTTTCTTTTCATTCTCACTAAATGGAAATTTTACTTGATTTGGTGCTTATTGTTTATCTATACAATTACAGACCTCATCCTTCTTGCATGTTTTCATTCACTGGTATTTACCTTTCAGAGGTGTAAAATTTGTATTATTCCATTTACATTACAGTGATTTTCACTAGAACTGGCAGCTGAGTCACGTCTGTTCAGAAGCTGCATGACAGAAGCATCAAAAGCCAAACTGTGTTGTTGCAAGTTTGTGTTCTTTTTCCTTGCATAGTGTCGTAACCTTGTCTTCTGATGGACAAGAAAGGTGTATATAGCAACCTTATGAGTTAATATGAAATATTCATGAAGTACTTTATTCTTTGCATGCAAATATATTTAACAAAACAACTCACATTCACTTAAAATCAATGTTCCACAATGCTACATTTTGAACCACTGTATGCTCTGTTTCCTTGCTTCTCCCCCATCTTTCCTTTCTAGCCACAGAAAATGTGCCAATTCTAGTGAAAAACATTATAATTTTTACAACAGAATTTGCTTTTAACCACTGAACACATTCATAACAGGGACTAATATTACTGGTCATGCCACCTTTCCTGGTAAGAGGAAGCCATAATATTGTTAAGAAGCATGTTGTCTTTTTTCTTCTGTCTAAAATATTCTGGTGACAGACTATATCACCACCTATGCAATGATTTCATACACAAATGGTTGAATGTGTAGCACACATAATTACCATATTCCTACATTGCACTTAATAACAAAGTATCTTCATAAGCATTTCAAAGTCTCTGATTTACCTGACTAATCTGTAGCTGAGTATCTTGCAGATTCTTGGTAAGGTTTTCTAGTTGATCTCGTGATTCTTTTTGCTGTTGTTCAAGCTTTGCCTCTTCCTGTTTCAAGCCCTCTAATTCCTGTTTCTTTGAACTTAGTTCATCTTCTTGAGATTTAAGTGACTGCTCTTGTTCTTCTGCTTGCCGACGCAAGTTGTCAACCTAGTATAACAGTTATCAGTAAACTAATTGCATAAAGTGTAATAAAAGGTCTAAGAATATCTTGGTAAAAAGTCCAACTCACATGAGACATAACAACTGTTAAATTAAAAATATTTCAATTGTTCACCTACGGAGAGGAAAAATGCAATACCTCAACATATTTATGTTAAATACTATATACAAAGTGATTCTTAATTACATTCAATAAATACAGGGATGGTGTTCTACTCCTACAATTATGCCAAGAAGGTCCCATAACATATGGTTGCAACTGCTATTGTTAGCAAGATATGGCAACATTGCACAGCAACAAGGCATGTTTCCAGCATCAGTTCACAATTAATGTTTTAGTGGGAATTGAAAAACTCCTCATCGGACCTTACAAGCTACTGCCTCCACTCTCAGGGGCCTCCTACATTCTTCACACGAAGAACTGCCTCAACTACAAAAGGATATACCACTGGTAACGAAAAAAACTATGTGGTTTATGTATGATGGAGCTCCTACTTATTTAGTAATGATATAAAGCAGTTTCTTGACTCTTTAGCTACTTCTGTGACCTCTGCAATCACCCAACCTCACACCTGCTGCCAACTTATACCTATGGGCCCTTCTGAAGTAAAAGTAAAGTAAAGTAAAGTTTGTCCCACTATACGCCATGTAGGCGTTTGGGGTGAGAGGAGGTATAGCTCCTCTCTTCCTTGACCTCGGCACTAGATGGGGGTGAGTGGTCAGCATCACGCCCCGGCCGGCTTTACCCCCGGGAAAGGACCCCGGTACCCATTGTAGAGGAGGCTGGGTGGGCCCCAGAGCCAGTCTGGAAGCAGAGGCTAGAGGAAAAATCCTCTGCCCCCATAGGGGATTGAACCCCGGTCGCCCAGCCCGTAGCTCGTCACTATACGCTATCCCGGCTCATGGGGCCTTCTGAAGTGCAAGGTGTAAAGAAAGAGTAAAAATTCAGAAAATGTTCTGATGGATGATTCAAGTGTCTCAGAAAATACAACACAGGATTGGAATTTTCCAGCATCACAAGACTCAGATATGCATCCAAACTAACAGTGAATTTTCAGCAACATATGTAAACTTTAAGATGTTCTTACATTAAAATGTAACACATAAATGCTTTCTAAAAATATGTTGTCGTTTAATGTCTAATGTTTCCTGTTCTCACTAACAAAGCAGTTGCAACCACATGTTCATAGTACATTTTTGGCTGATTTTACAACTAGAATATGATTCTTATATTTACAGTGTGTAATTAAGAATCACCCTAAAAATTAAATTGGAAAGGACTCATGGACCAGAATAATTATATCATTATACTAGTTATCCCCCAAGACCACAAAAATGACCACAGGCACGGCATGCATGAGTGAAAGAATATGCAGTTCTTCACCTTGTACATAACCAAAGCCAACAAAATTCCTGACAATGCAACTTTCACATTACCCATTAATTTGTAAGACTAACTTCATGGCAAGAGGACGAGAAGGAGAAGAGTTACAGCACACTGACTGCATAATTACAATTTAATTCTGCAAAAAGTACAACGTGAATAGTAAAAGACGTTAAGCTTTCATGGCAGATGTTAATAAAATCTTCTTGGGCCAGCAGCCATGTCACTTGGTTAAATTCTGGCACAGTTTACTAAAGGGAGATGGGGGGGGGGGGGGGGG